CTTCCTCTGCCACTACCACCTCGGCCACCTGCACTGGTTGACTGCTCCAAGGACCGCACGTGCTCCGCCGCAATCCCAATCTCCTTCTCACCATCGTCATACGATATATCGAAAGTCGCGTCGGAATTGACTCGCGAGATCTTTCCCTTGTAGAACTTGGTCCCCTTCCCACGGTACCTCACCTCGACCCTGTCTCCCTTGGCCATCCTGCTTCCGTTCGTGTCACTATCGCTTGTGTTGGTTTGCGTCTCCAACGACCGCACGTGCTCCACCGCAATCCCAACCTCTTTCTCACCATCATCGTAGGCTATATCCATGGTGTCATCGGAATTGACCCGCGAGATCTTGCCCTTGTAGAACTTAGTTCCCTTCCCGCGGTACCTCGCCTCGACTCTGTCTCCCCTCTCGAGCCTGCCCCGCCTCTCCCCACCCCCACCTGCACTTGTTGGCCGGTCCAAAAATCGAACATGCTCCGCCGCGATCCCAATCTCCTTCTCACCATCATCGTAGGCTATGTCGAAAGTCGCGTCGGAGTTAACTCTCGAGATCTTGCCCTTGTAGAACTTCGTACCCCTTCCACGGTACCTCGCCTCGACCCTGTCTCCCCTGGCCATCCTCCCCGCCCTACCACGGCCACCTGCACTGGTTGGCCGGTCCAAAGATCGAACGTGCTCCACCGCAATCCCAATCTCCTTTTCACCATCATCGTAGGCTATATCCATGGTGTCATCGGAATTGACTCGCGAGATCTTGCCCTTGTAGAACTTGGTCCCCTTCCCGCGGTACCTCACCTCGACTCTGTCTCCCCTCTCGAGCCTTCCCCGCCTCTCCCCACCCCCACCTGCACTGGTTGGTCGGTCCAAAGATCGAACGTGCTCCACCGCAATCCCAATCTCCTTCTCACCATCATCGTAGGCTATGTCGAAAGTCGCGTCGGAATTGACTCGCGAGATCTTGCCCTTATAGAACTTGGTCCCCTTCCCGCGGTACCTCGCTTCCACCCTGTCTCCCCTGGCCATCCCGCTTCCTCTCACGTCATTGTCGCCTGTGCTGTTTTTCGACTCCAAGGATCGAACGTGCTCCGCCGCAATCCCAATCTCCTTCTCACCATCACCATAGGAAATATCGAACGTGCCGTCGGAATTGACTCGCGAGATCTTACCCTTGTAGAACTTGGTCCCCCTTCCACGGTATCTCGCCTCGACTCTGTCTCCCCTCTCGAGCCTGACGCTTCCCCCGCTTCGGCCCTCATCGCGGTGAGAGCTTCCTCGATCGCTGGCCCGGATCAGATCGTCTGTGACCCCGCGTTCCTTCTCACCGTCGTCATAGTCGATATTGAAGGTCCCGTCCAAGTTGACCCTGCCGATTCGTCCCGGATAGAACCTCCCTCGACCTCGGAAGTTGGCCTCGACCTTGTCTCCTTCCACCAACGTCGGGGCCCTTCCTCTACCACTACCACCACGGCCACCTTCACTGGTTGACTGCTCCAAGGATCGAACGTGCTCCGCCGCAATCCCAATCTCCTTCTCACCATCATCGTAGGCTATGTCCATGGTGTCATCGGAGTTTACTCGCGAGACCTTGCCCTTGTAGAACTTGGTCCCCTTCCCACGGTACCTCACCTCGACTCTGTCTCCCCTGGCCATTGTGAGGCCCCTCCCCCCGCCACCACCTGCGTTTGCTTGTGGCTCCAAAGATCGAACATGCTCTTCTGCAATCCCAATCTCTTTCTCACCATCATCATACGAAATGTCCATAGTGCCGTCGGAGTTCACGCGTGAGATCTTGCCCTTGTAGAACTTGGTCCCCTTCCCGCGGTACCTCACCTCGACTCTGTCTCCCCTGGCCATTGTGAGGCCCCTCCCCCCGCCACCACCTGCGTTTGCTTGTGGCTCCAAAGATCGAACATGCTCTTCTGCAATCCCAATCTCTTTCTCACCATCATCATACGAAATGTCCATAGTGCCGTCGGAGTTCACGCGTGAGATCTTGCCCTTGTAGAACTTGGTTCCCTTCCCGCGGTACCTCACTTCTACTCTGTCTCCCCTAGCCATGGTGCTTCCTCTCGTCCTACTGCCACCGCCACTTGCCCCTGGCTCCAAAGATCGAACGTGCTCTGTCGCAATGCTAATCTCCTTCTCTCCATCATCGTATGCTACATCGACGGTATCGTTGCTGTTGACTCTGGAGATGGTGCCCTTGTAGAACTTTGTACCACGACCGCGATATCTCGCCTCGACTCTATCTCCACGGGTAAAGCTGCTAGCGGGCCCGCCTCGTGCTTCTTGGCCACTTCGCCCTTCATTCGACGCGTCCCCGCTAGGCGAGCTCGCCTTGCGATGAGACCTGGCCGAACTTGGCGCCCTTGCCCCGTCGCTGCCGCTACCCCGCCCGCTCTCTCTCTCCCTCGGTCTATCGCGGTCTGTAGGCCGACCGCCGGCACGATGCTTATCCCGGTGTCGATCTCGGTCGCGGGTGCGGTCGTGATCGTCGTCCTCGGTTTCACGACCCCCTCCGCGGCTCCTGGTTTGCTGTCGCTCGCGACCATCACGCTCCTCCTGCGGCACACTGCCGCGACGACCTCTACCTCTGGTTCCGAACGCGCTGCCGTCACTTCGGTCACCGTCACCACCGGTGTCGCTCTCGTCGGATGGCAATCTTTTTCCACCCTCCCGCCCGTACCGTGACCTGCTCCACCAGGAGCAGCAGCAGAGGTGGCACGGGTGCGATCAACACGACGCACTTATGGCACGTTTTCGGTGAGACCTAGCGGGGACGGTAAGTGCTCTTGGAAAACGATGTGAGGCGCATGGTCTGGACTAAATGCCGGCCACCTTCGGACGCGCTGTTCTTCTGAGTGCTACAGTGCCGTGTGCCTCAACAACGTGGTCCAAGCGCGCGCGACTTCATCACAAGTGCGCTACGAAGAATGGTCGCAGGAACGCGTACTAGAGAAATTCTGTGGCCGAAATGTAGGAAGGACGGCGCGCCGTTCATCGGATGTATCTACCCGCACGCCTGCACGTATTCACCTACAATACTCACAGCCTGACTGATTTCTGCTTTCGAAGATAACCTGCAACCTGCACCCGTCTGCAGGGGGAACTCCCGACCATTTTTCACGTTGCATCAAACCTTGAACATATTTTTTGCACCTACTGGACCCATGCTTGTCGCGCTTGTGCCCCATGGCTCGTCTTCCTCTCCGGGAGGGAGGGCCGTCGTTGTCCTCCTCAATATCGGAACTACTTCCGCCCGACTCCGCCAACCGGCCCCTTGATCTCCGGGGAGAATAGCTGGGACGTCGCTTTCTCGACGCCGACCTAGAGCGTCTCGTCTCGCCGTAGCCGCCGCCGCTACCGCTACCGAGCCCTCGCCCGCGGCTGATCCCCCCCGCCCCCACGCTCCTTCTAGGCGATACTCCCCGCCGAGGGGCTGGGCTGCGCCGGTGTCGGTCGTCTTCGTCGTCAGCGCTCGTGCTGGTGGAACCTTCTTGGTCTTCGTCGTCGTCGCCGTAGGCTCTTCCTTCTCCGGAGCGTCCTCGCCGCCTTGTTCGCCTGCGGCTGCCACTTCTGCCGCCTCCACGTTTACCAGTGACGCTCATGTACTCGTCGTCGTCGTCGTCGTCGTCGTCTCTCCGTCCTCGACTGCCATGGCGGGCTCTGAATGGGGTGTTAGTGCCACCGCCGCCCAGAGGTATCATCGCTGGCGCAAAGCCGGCAACGTGTGCCCCGGAATCGTGGACTCCGAGCGCGGCCATCGATCGCAGAAACTCGAAGAACGTCACCTGGGTCGTTAGGCGCGTAAATCGGGAGTTCGGCTAGTGTGAAACGTCCCACGTTCCGGGAATGGGTTGAAGGCTAGCCGAGCGGAAAAAAAATAGGCCAATAGTTGGTAGACGCTTCGCATGGCATGAGCATCCGCTCAAGGCATGAGAATCCATGAGGCGCTTTCCATCGCTCCATTGCGAAACGACGCTGTCTGTTGGTCGTCGAAGAACCAGGTGAGGGAACCATGAAAAGGAAAGAAAACAACCTTCCCCTCAACAAGTGCTCCCACCATCCCCAAACCACTCGCGCCCCTCAAATCTCCTGAGAAGGCGACTGTCAACCCCCCCGGAAGCACACCTCTCTGCGCAAGCCGAAGAAGCGCCGAGAGCGCAGGTATCGTCCAGCGTGCGTCCTGGGTGCCGTGCACCCAGCCTCTGTTAGCGCCTGCAGGGCCTCGTAGGCGGTCAGCATGCCGTCCACGGCGAACCGGTCAAACACGCGCTTCACCTCTGCCAGCTTTTTCACCGATCGGAGGGCTTCGAAGGCCTCAGCTTGAGCATTCTCACGGTAGTGATCGTCTCCGTCGTTGCTGGCGTCCTCGCCACCGCCTCCTCGGGGGGTCTTCATGAGCAGGTTCGGCGGACACGAATCGATCGGTTTGAAGGCCGAGGATTCGGTGCGATTAGTGAGAGTACATGGAAAGGCGTTCGCGGGTGACAAAAACCAACATCGTGAGTTATAACATGTTATTTAAACGGTAGATTGGCTCCTGCTCCAGATTCAGGTGCCCTTGTTTAGCCAAGAGGGGCAGAATGGGTTGGGGAATTCTGTTGACTGACCACTTTTTTCTTTCTAAAACCGCAGAACAAAGAAATTTCGCCGTACGTCAGCTCGACGCAATGTGGATTGCGTTCTGAGCGTCGACGCACTGGCGAATCACGGCCCATTGCCGCACCGAATAGAAAAGTTCTACCGAGAAAAATTTGCTGCCATCTTGTGGATATTAAACTGTTCCTTCTGCACTGCTGTTCTAATGCGATTTGCGCTTCTACTGCTAAACTCGACGTGCTGTATCACCTTTCGATGGGGTGAATGCCTTCTGCTCCCAGTCCGAAACCCTTGCTCGTCCTCGGAACTTCCTGGCGCCCACGACCCGTGTGCCCCGTCGCCGCGACCTTGGGCCGACTTCTGCCTAAGACGGACATGACCTGACCCCGTTACCGATACGCCCTGCTCCTTGGGACCGCCCCTGGGTCCCCGTCTTTCACCTAAGTCAATATCTGGGTCCTCATCGGCGAAAAGAGCAGAGTACCTGGAACAAGTTGTGTTCGCATGCCGCAATGGAAGATCGGACCCAATTAGTGTACGGCTGCGTCCATCGTTTCAAGTATCGATACGTGTTTTACGTCAGCGGAACACTTCTTAGGTCAACATCGTTGACGCGGCAAGCCCGTCATCTCATGGCCTCCGAGTGGTGGTGTTGCGACGCTATCATCCCCTTCGGTCACTCACGCGGTAGAAAAGTCTACGAATGATATGTCGCCGCTCTGGCCCCCACCATCGCCCCGATTTCTCTCCCTGTCCGCCAGCCACGAGGCGCACGCCTCCCCGGTGACGTCGCGACCCATGTACAGCAGCGCATCGCGCGCGTTGGCGGTCGATATGGTACCCCCTCCGCTCTTGTCGAAGCGGTCGAAGACCACCTGCAGTTGGGATTAGGATATGACCAAAACATAGTGAAAGGGGTGGAGCGGGCGGTACGTGTGTCGTCGAATTGTTTTTGCGAATGTGAGGGTAGGAAGAGGCACTTGCGACTATAGTTGATTAACTCGTGTTGAAATGTATTGGTTGGCTTTCGTGAACGCGGCACCAGGAAGAAAACTCCTTCACGACGGCGCTGGCGTAGTTGTTTTCTGAAGGCGATGTGTCCCACGATCTGAACATATGAACCCTTTACCTTGAGCTTGGTCACGAGGCGGACGCGATCTCTGTCTAAGCGCTTCACGTAGTCGTCCATGTCGGCGTAGTTCTTGCCCATCTGCTGGACCGATCATGCGAACGAGGTCGTCGCGCAGGCCGTGCCAGAATCAATGGCGCAAGATGAGGGAGGGGGTTAAGGTGTTCGTGTTTGTCGTATCGCATGCGTTTTGCGTAGTAGTCCCACTAAGAAAATATAATCAGGATAGGGGTCTCACTTCTTCAAGTGACTTGCATGCACCCAAGGCGATCTGTTAAGCCATTGCTCAACTTCCTCTGTGAAATTTCAAAAGAAACAAGCAAGGACGGAGGTGTACGTGCGGAACCACGGAACCTGAGTGCCCCCCTCTCCTCTCCTGGAGACTGGTGCTGCATAGGATTTGTAATGTTCTTCTCTCGGCCTCAAGAACTGTCGTTTGTGACTCGGTCAGCTCGAAATCGACCTCTGAATATTGCAATACTCGCCACAAACGCTTGCTTAATTTTAGTTGGCCCTCGAATGGTGGTCTCGTGGCCATGCCGTCTTGTTTGTGGTCGAGCGCCACTTTCAACAACATAAACGCCCTCCGCCCTAGGACAAGGATAGGATCGGCCAACAAGCTGGTGTGAGACAAACGATGCCAAGGCGGCCAAGAGAGAGGACATGAACACGCGGGCTACCATTGCTTGCGTACCTCCTGTTCCTCCTTGTCCTTGATTTTCTGTATCCCGAGGCACACTCTTCTGCGATGTAGCGGATGTTCAATGCCTAACATGTCATGCAGGTCTTTGTCCTTCGCTCGCAAGGACCCAAACGTCGAATGGGAACGATCATGGATAGGATTGGGAGCGCGGGGGAAGGGATGTGAAGTGTACAAAATGTCGCTTTTGGTGCTTCATCGTAGACAGTCACTCTTTCGAGGGCGAACCCGGAGAGGGGTGTCATCCCCAGGGCTGGATCGGTGATACCGGGGGGATCATGGATTGGCTTACATTACGTTATCTTCCCTTGGTGTGCCCTTTTGCAATGCCATGAATCCCTCATTGCACGTTCTCTCCGCCTCTGAAACCGTGCGAACAGCCCATCACGTCCTGCAGCAGTGACTTTGCTGTTCAATCGCACAGCAAGCTAGTGCGTAACCTAGTACATGTTCCGACACAATTGTTGTCAAGGCACCGACCTCGAGGTTGAGAAGAAGGGCCCCATCCACCTTTGCCCTTGCAAACTCCCTCCGGTACTCTCCCAGCTCCAGCTCATCTTCCAGCCAGTCTAGCACCTGCATGTTATGGCAAGGCGCAGGTGAAAAGCTCGTGGTGTTTGCTGACTTAGGTTGTGCTTTTCCTTGCATCGTGCTAACTAATGGTCGTAACAACATGGTGTTGTCCCCGCACGCGAGAAAAAACATACCGTTTGCGCTTCGAACCATCGAACATCTTGTGGTCAGTCAAGATGTTATCGGTTACAAAGTACAGGACACACAAGAGCCGTGTTCTGGCTTGATGCGAAGGCGGTTGTAGTGACTGCTGGGCGCGCGGTGACGTAACAACAAGCATATCGAACTGCCACCTTCCTCCGTTCTCACTAGGAATACCCCGTATTGGGTTCGGCACAACTACGCGGATGTGGTCTGCGTGCTTTGATTTCCTCCAGTCCAAAACAACCCTTGAAACCCTACTTCCTCCTTCCCACGAGACTGGTTCTGACCTCTTGAACGCCCCACTCCCGCGCTGGACGCTTTTCTCTCTCTCGACTTGCCGCCACGATTGCCTCGTCCCGCCCCTCGCCTGGCCCCAAGCCCCTCCTTTTCCCGTCGACAGGGCCGGGAGGCATCATGGGATAAAGCTCGCCCGTTGACGCGATTTTCACCTACGTGCGCAAAGCGCAAATGGTTCATGTAACATGGCCCATGTCACGGGGAAAGGGGGTGTTGACAGGGATGGAAGGAGAAAAACGTGATTTCTTACCATTTTTGGTCACTTACGGCGCCAGTTCCAGACCTATCAAATTAACACGCCGCGGGCAGGTTTTCAGCGTAGAAAGTCTCTCCCCTGCCCACCCACCCTCCTGAATCCCGAATTTCTCCTGCTTGACAACTTGCCTTTTTCGGCAGTGAATCCCTTTGGCTCGTCCGTTCCGTTAGTAAGGAATAGTGAGTTTTTGTCAAGTATTTCGACGTTCTAGTTTCCCGCCTCAGACTATTTCCTGCCGGCTGCATATTCATTCCCGCGTTCCGACCCCCTTTCCCCTTATCGACCAGCTCTCCGCTTGTCACTGGTTCCTTTTCTTTCTCATCATGTGGACTTCTCACGTGTTTTTAACCCCCTCCCCCGTGAGTACAGCGTACCTGCATGTCGCGGTTGACGAGGTACACGGGGAACTCGCCGAACTCTGCAAGGAACTGCCGCCCGGGCCCGTCTGGGGACGGAAAGCCCAGGTCCGTGTCGCTCGCCATGGCCATCGATCGGAACCGAGTCTCGCCCTCGCTGACCGCCTTGAGCACGGTTGTGCGCTCTGCCCCGACGCTGAGGTCCACCGATGAGGACTCTACGTTGCATCCGGCGAAGCTGGTAGGTTGGCGTGGGGGACGGGGTATGCGAGCGTGAAAATAAGGGTTGTGTTTCGATGGTACAAGTTCAGGGCTGTCTCCCCGAACCACTGCTGCTTCTTATGTACATTGGTCACAACCGTCCTTGTTTTTCTGTTGACTTCGCGAGGTATTTGAACGACGAACCACAAGATCTATGAGCATGGCCAAATGCCCGTGTTGTTGTCTTCGCCGCAGAAATTCCAACACGTGTACACGATGTGTCGCTATACGAATCGTTACGGGATTCTCACATCTTCCCAGATCGTGTTAGCAAAGCCGCGCCCGTGACTCTTTGCTGTCCCTGAGCATGTCCAATGTCGCATGCGCGAAACGCAGCATCGATGAGCTCCTCCAAGACCGTCATCCCGCTTTCACCATACGCCTGGAGCGTGCAGGGGAGGCAACGACGACAGCAAGGAAAGCTAATCGACACCCAGCGCGAGGCCAGAGGAGATACTTGCCTCCGCGTCTAAAAGTGGACCTCTACGTCTACATGGTCTTCACTGCGCGTACCTGAGGGATCAAACCTGACGCAACAACGCAGCCCTAAATATCCGCACGTGGTCATTGCCCGGGCAAAATTGTTCGATCACATTGACCCCGTCATCGATGTCAGTTGGTGCACCCACTGGTGCATGGATAGGGATTGCGACGAGTACGCCGGCGAATGCCTGATCACGCACGCATCACTGGTGTTCTAGGCTATCACGTTGTACCTGCATCCCAGTGAACGTTTTGGTGTAGGTTTCCTGAGCCAAGGACCGACGGAGTTCCGCACCCTCATTCCCACCACTGGCATCAAACTTTATCGCCGAAGACCGTCTTCTCGGAGGGGTTGTTGCTGAAACTAACTCGGAGAGCGCGATCCCGCCTCCGGGAGATGTATGTCGGGGAGAAGGGGACGGGGCCCTACCCCGATCATCACTCCTGTCACTCCGACCGCCGCGGCCACCGCCGCCGCCGCCGCTGCCCACTTTTGTGGGGGTACGCGGGCGGCGACGATGCGGGGGCGAGTCCGCAGCAAAGGCCTCGAGGCGCGAGGGACTGTTGAGGCGGGAAGCCGCCGCCGCCGCTTGTTTCTCGATCAGCATCTTCATCGTCACAGAACTGCTTCATTTGAGAAGAGGAAAATTGTCATGCGAAAACAATATTCGTTGGTAGCTTCAGTTGAGCAGCCGAGCATAGAAGGTGTGTTGGGCTTCAGAGGCTATCGTTTGGGCTTCTTGGTTTTCCCGGCATTCTTGTTGTGACGAATCCTCTCACTCACGCTACCAGGGTGGGGAACAAAAATGCTACTCGGTTTTTGGCACTGCGCAGTGGCGAATGAAGAGGTAGAAGGTGTGTGGCGATGATGATATGACGGCGTTGTTCAGAGCCAAATCAGACTTCAAGACTTTCGGACTTGTGTGGAAGGGAACATCCGACAATTTAGTGGGCGTTTCCTGGGTGTTGGCGCGCTACACAATGAGTGATGAGTTAGGCGTTAATGCTAAGGTTCCAGAACCGCTCATCGAAGAATCGAACTGACCTGTACGTGTCCGAGTTGAGAAGCCAAAGTGAGTTTTTCCCTTTGGCGTAAGACCGTAGCGGACTACTTGCTGGCCTAGCTTCTTCCCTTGGAGTGTGGTTCTGTCGTTGAAGCCCAACGCAAGATGAACGGACAAGCAAGGTGGATAGACGAGGGCATGTGTCTCCGGTCGTGCACCTGACTCCAGGGTTTGGAGCACACCATTCGCCGGAAAATCACAGTCAACGACGGCTATGAATTGATGGATACCCCTGGCCTATGTAGGAAACAATCAACAGCAAGTTGTCACAACGTAGTCTCTTGTCGATCAACACAGCTAGCTGTTGTACATACAAGCAACGAAGACCATCTCGAAGCGGAAAAGGGCAGCGCTCTCACTTACCACCTTGGACGATCGCGATGTGCTAAGCTGTCCCCTATTCCGTCGAGAAGGAGGAGAATACGGCATCGCTCTCGGCACCAAATCACGCGCTAAACCTAGAACCTATTGTAGTTCCAAGTGGTGTGTACGGCGGTGTACAGCGTCGTAATATAAGCCGACTCGCGGGTTTGATGACACAGGCGCGTAAACGCAACTTTTTTTCTGGCTTCAAAAACATAAGTATTTCGCTTCTACATTCGAACTACTTCGTATCAGACTCAATTGGACAGTCGAATGCAGGAGAATACGCCAACACGAGAACCTCTCGAGTGCATGTCCTTTCCACCTCCGAGGTGTGCTCAGTGCCTTTGGGAAGTCGTTTTTTTTTTTTTAGTGTGTGCGGGCGTGGGAAACTTGTTGGACAGTCCGACGAAACATCACAGGCTAGAGGCAGGATTGTTTCGCAGACTACACGTATTCTAATCTCGGCGGTTCGCTTCGTACTCAGGCTACCCTTGCTGTGTGCGGTCGAATGACGGTGTGAATCTGAATCTACAGTCAGTACATTCACACATGTAGCCGCACACCTACGCCTCTTTCGCTATAAATGCACCTGGTCTGTATGCTGCAGCGTTCGCCGACAAACAGGGCTTGAAGGGCCATTCCAGTAGGAATCGTGACCCGTCTGGAACGCCATACACCTTACGTTGTCCGGGCCTGTGCACTCCCTGGTTGTGGTTGTCGGTCTGGTCTCGTCTCGCAGACCTATTTACAGGTCTGAGGTTCCGCAGATTTTTTTACCGTTACATCTCCCTGGATATTTTTTTTCGGGAAGATCCAAGATATCGAAGAGGACAGTACAGTAAACTACGTGCTGTAGGCCAGTCTACACTGCGTACAGCGTAAGGGAGACGAGGCTGTATAGACGTGTACCAATGGTACCTTGGATCTTGTGAAGAGAACGAAAGAGGGTGTCTGCTCAAGATAAATTATATAGAACGAAAAGGAGACCTTTCTCGGTAGCCGACACACACATGTACTGCTGTAGATCCATGATCGATATCAAGTACGTGTGTGGTGTACAGTAGAACCTTCACAGATGTTCGTTTTTGTGTACATCAGTCCGGAGTACCTGCTCCCCCGGTACAAATCTAGACAATGTAGTACTCCTCCTCTCTTTTTGGCGGCGTGAGGTTTGTGATTCGAAAAGAGAGGAGTAGTCTATGCATACTATGTACGGCAGTTCCTCGAGTGCCACCCCAATGAACATCCCCTCGTTTGCGGGGAGGATGCCCCTCCCGGACCGCGAAAGACTGCCAAAACGACGGGAGTACCAACCTACAATAGATGACTACTATTACCATCGGGCGGACCACGTATATTATACTGATTGCACTAGTGGAAGGATTGGAATGATTGCTCCAGTGGAAGGATTGGAATGATTGCTCTCGGAACTCGTTCAGCATTTCTTTTAGCCCAACCAAATAGCCTAGGCTTATTCACCAGCTCTTCAGCACACCAGCCAGCGATAACAACAGCTAGCTGCCCCTCTTTCCGTGTGAATCTTCAGTTTGTAGTGCAAATGGCTGTCAACTCTTTGTCTCGCGTCATGAAACATCCATTGTGGGCTGAGGGGTACCTCGAGCTACATACAGTAGACGGTGCCACATGAAGGGCGTCCAACATTCAAACACAACACGGGAAGCATCCCCAGTCAATCAATGTTGAGTTCCGACCTAAGCAGAGGAGCCGCGGCAACACTTGGAGTCAGCGTTTTGCTTCCGGGTAAGGACCCCAATCCTCCGAACTAAGCACGACAAAAGCTTCGAGAATGCAGGAAGTCTGGGCTATCTTCGAACATAATCCGCGCCGGCAGCCGGGTTTTCTCCAGATGTATGTGGTGTTTTCATCACAGCCGAGGACTGTGCCTCGCCCGATTGAGTGGCCTGTCACTGTTGTCGATGACCCGTCTTCGAACGAGGGGTCATCACTGCCTCTTCACCTTCACCACCACCACCACTAACTGTATCACCGTCTGCTGCTTCCCCTCCCTTATCAGATACTTCTCTTGGTCGGTCAAGGGCAAAACTGGACAGCCCACTGTCAACCTCTGTCGACCCAAGATTGCCGCCACCTCCCGTAACAGCGACTTCTTCGATGTGGTCCCTTCTGGACGCTGAACTTGACCGCCGCCTCCCCCTCCTCCTCCCGCTGTCGCTGCTGCCACCACTAGCTGCCCTGCTATCTACTCGTACACGGCTCGCCTTTGTCCGGCTAGAAGAACTAGTGGCAGTGGACGTTGTCGTGCTCTGTTGTCCGGAAAAAGAAGATCGCCGAGAGTCACTAGTCGTACTAGTGAAGCTACTACCACTCGATGTCTGACTGCTGTCGTCCCTCTCGCCCCCACTACTGTTGTTGTTGTTAAGCCCTTCCACAGTCGCCACCGCTACCCTCTCTGTCACTTGTGGTGTCGATCGCTCCTTGCCCCCATCCTCGTTGGATTGAATACTCTGGCTTTGACACGCCTCCTTCGAGAGAACACTACTTGTCCCCGCTTGCGGCGCACTGTTGTGAGTTATGTTAGACTTGTCTCCGGTCTCTGAAGCGTCCTTTGCATTGTCCGCTCCAACAGCGCTCATCGACCGAGTTTCCACAGAGCCCGGCTTGATAGATGCACTAGCTTGTGTTGGTCGAGGTTGTACCGGGTCTAGAGAACTAGATCGGCCACCTGGTGTGGTCCCGCCAGTGGTTTCACCTGCTAGTCCTCGGAACTCTTTTGGAAGAAGAGTAGAGCCACCTTGAATTTTAATGGGAGCTGTTGTCTCTGCGTTGCCATTTGCGCCGGCGGCGAGGTTGGATTGACGTTGTTCCCCGTCGTGTTCTCCCATTCTACCTTGCTCTTCGTCCTTGCCTTTGATCTCTCTTGTTGTTTCCCCATTTTCCCCGATCAAAGCTGAAGTCTCCCCTGTCGACACCCAAGGATCGAGTAACCTTCCCGAAGAAGAGCTCCTTTTGCGCGTTCCAAGGGGTGCAGATGGTGTGGCAATGTTTGTCTGTGCACCTCCTCGCTTGGACGCTGTCGGCGTCTCATTATTATCCTCACCGCTTCCCTGCCCTTCCTCTTTCTCGTCCCCACTGCTGTCCCGAATCGGCACTAGAGTCCCTTTCCTTGACGTATTAGAAACAGCATCTCCGGTTATCCCAACTGCTATTTCGGAGCTGGTGCGTACATGAGCTGGTTGTACTGGTGTTCGTTGACTAGACTTCACGGCGCCAGCTGGGTGAATATTCCTTTCCACAACCTCGTTGACCTCGTCGTTTTGCGCTCTTCTACCGCCGCGCATCAGCTCATCCTCGGCCATCTGACCCGCTGAACCATTCTCCTCGTTCGTCGCAACGGCAGCACCATCAGCAGCTTCAGCAGCAGCTGCCAGCCTTTGCAGATCAGAGGTTGTACTCTGTCGAGCGGATGCTGTTGTTTCTGCTCGGTCTTCTACGGCGCCGACGGGTGGGTTTGCCACCCCCTTGTCATTGGTGTTTGCATCTTCTGACTCAATCTCCTCCCGACTGCAAATGGTATTACCGGGAGCAGCAGCAAGCTCCTCGTCCCTACTCAGACCCCCTTGTCTTTCCTTCGGTAGTAGTTCTGCTGTTGCCATGCCAGTACCATCGCCATCGTCGATGGCAACTGAACTAGCCCGTGACCTTCTCAGCGGCGGGAGTTTGCTGGCGGATGGCTGTTGCCCACTCTCATCTACGTGCTTTGCCCGGGACAACGACAACGACGCACCGTGTCCCTCACCAGCCGCGTCCAGAAGAAGCTGTCCATCTGTTCGCTTCCCCTCGTCGCCGCTGCCCGCAGCGCTTTCAGCATCCTCAGCATCCTCACGGCGGCCTGGGGCTGACACAACCCGACCGCGCGTGCTACCCCCCATGTCAATATCTCGAGGCAACGATGGCAACGACGACGACGACGATGGCGGCGATGATATCGACGGCGTGCTTTCATCCGCGGCACGTCGTGGGGTGCTACTGTTGCAGCCCGCGCCGACCTCCGTGAAACAAGATTCCTGCTCAACCATCGTTGAAGCAGCGTCTGGTACAGGCGCCTCGTCAATGCTGGTTGCTGCCTCTCTCCTCGTACCCCCAAGGTTGGTTTCCTCCGCTATTGCCAACCGCTGCTGAAGGGTGCCGACGTTGTCGGCGAGTCGTTCCACAGCCTCGCTTGCCAACGCGGTTTTATCTTCCACCAGGCCAACAACCTCGTCGGTGTTCCATTGGAGACCGACAAAACGACTGAGCAGGAGGACTGCCGATCCTACCTGTCCAGCGTGACCATGCCCCGGCAAGAATGACAGGAAAAGCGTAGGGGTGGCGGATGGGCTGGTTTATCGCGTTGCGTGGGGGGGAATCTTCAACATGAAGCGCTATTAAAGTTGGGTATAGTGGTACCGCTGTGTGGTAGAACGGGGGAAGGTACAACTGCGCATCAAGCTCGTGGGTGCGGAAAATAGCGACAATGTCGTTGATGGGGGAAACCGTGGTCCGTGGAGTCTGGGCTGCAGTACGGAAGGATACTTACAAATGGATAGGAACCAACGGGAGCTGAGACCCCCTCAGAGATGTAAAAAAAAACGTGCCCATGCGACGCAACACGCACACTCTCTCAAGCACCACCTCCCATCGGACGTCTGCTGTGATGTCCGGCCTAGGCAGCATCTACCAGTGTCATCAAAAGTTCAAGAAGAGGATGCCGGGGCGCATTGGTCTTCGTCCAGTGTTGTTTGATTCATTCCTTGCCCTCCGGTTGGGTAGTACCAAACTCTGGGTTGGTGTACAACTATCTACCACGGTGCGATTGGTGAACTATTCTTAGAGGGAATACATCGCCTTTTTGTGATGCTGGGTCTTGAGCTGAGTCCATGGGACGGCTTTCGTTCGCGTGCGACAACAACAGCAAACGAAGACAACACGTTGTTCTGATCGCACGTGACATGCAAAACCGCAATACGGTGGTTGTCGTACCGCGCAATCAACATCCAGTATTCGCCGGTGGGGGCCGAAATACTGCGCAAAATATCTGTACCCCGCCAGCCACGACTCCGTAGGTAGGGCGACATATGTGCATATTCGAGCTTGTGTGCTCCGGCACACAAAATTATAGCTGTACTGTAGGATCATGGTCGCTATTCTTGCCGATGGGAGCACGGAAATGGATAGTTCAGCACATGGGGGTGTTGTCCGCAACCTGGACGTTTAAAACACGGTCGCATTGTTAAGCACATCACACAAAAATCAGTAAACACTCGCTGATGTTTTGGCAGCACCTTTCTCACTGGCCTTTGCAGCGATCACCGTGGATTTGACGGCCGCCATGCCAGCGGAAATGCCCAGTGGTACATGACGCGTGCGAATACCGTTGTCGTCCTTTCTACATACGTATCGCGCTGCAAGATGATGAACGACTCAAATTCGAACTTTGTGAATTGTACCTCTCTGTGCATATCTTGCATGGTCGAGCGGATGGTATCGACGTCCCTCCTGAGAGCTGCTACCTCTTGCCGTAGTTGGTCCACGCCAGGGCCGGCATCCTCCTCTCTTTGCGGCTGCAAGGAGGGTGACGACGGGGGTCACATGCAGCGGGCACAACCAGCAGGCGAGACAGCCGACACCGAAAGTTTTTCTGATCATTTTCGTCCCCGTGCACCTTTCTACACCTAGAGTATGCGCTACACTGACTGGTGGTTCAGTGTCTCTCAAGATTGGCCTCCTACTCCATGTTGGGCATGCAGGTCTCCCGCGGCTTGCCGATTGTGCAACGTCAGCCTCACACTGCTGGTCCCAAAGAGAATAAGCGCGGGTGTGGGTAGACACCAGGTGTGGTATCCTCCGACATACAACCACACGCGCAAATCAGCAATGCCGAAGGGGTCCTCGTCGAAAGGCCGGCGATTTATGAATCTTACAAAGATGTACTTGTACACACTCATCATCCCGACGCCGGATGGAGGGTCCTGTGAAGAAGGTGAAGCCCACTATGGAGTTCTCTCTCTCGTGGTACAGTCACACCTCTCCCAAGTCGGTCAAGAACTGCTTGACGAGCTCGGGAATTGCTCGCCTAAAAGGCACGAAAGGGAACTGGCCAACAAGGCACGTAACCTTCGACGTATTAGATGGCATCCATGGCTCTACCACTGCTGAAAATAAAGCCTTAGCTAATGCTGTTCCTGTCTGTGATTTAGAAGTTCCACAATCGGAATGTCGTTGTCTGTGCGTTTATTTAGAGCGAACATCAAAGTAAGCAGCAGTAGATCGATACCGTGTGTGGGGAGGAGAGAGAAATGAGTTACCAGTAGTCAAGCAGTCGAGTCGCAGAAGGAGAAGAACGGACAGCAATTATGCGGGGGAAGCAGAGGAGGGAATTGAAATGAAAAGTTACACTTTTTCCCATTGCCATCCCCATCTATCGGTATCAGAGTATGTAGACATGTTAATTTAATATCCCGTATGCGTTACGCGAGTTCACCGAACCACAAACAGCAAGGTCGGCCTTATTTGTTATGCCCGCCGAAGTAAATGGCCAAGCGGGGCCCAAGCACAGACACAAGCAGGCGCCGACCGACCGAACATTTTTCAAACATGTATGTCGGTGGCAAAATAGTAATACAGACAGCAGTAGTTAGCAACCGGGAGTGGCGCCTGGCACGCTCTGAAGATGCGTGGAGACACGGATCTTTAACACCCGTGACAGCGAAATGAACCTATAATGCCCTCTAAGCACTTCACAAAAATACGCTGCTGTAGGCACGTCCACACTACATGTACTGAAGTTGTTTGCGGCATTATTACCCCGTCATATCCTTGGGATCGCCGCCTGCACAAATACATGCACTTCGACGGCGCGCTGCGTGCGTTAAGAGTAGTAAAGAAGCACGCGAACATCGTGCTTGTGTTCCCATCTATTCTGGAGTCATTCTTAACACCTTATGTCTGCGTTTGGCGTATGCACAGCAAAAGCCCGGTGTGTTATAGACCGCGCTAACCGGCCGCGTGTGTGCGCGGTGTATGATACACCCGAAATCAGGTACTCCGGTACAACATTTGACTGCTGTGAATTTTGTGACGGAAAAGAGGACGGGATGAACACCACCGCCGCCACCAACTTCAGTGTAAAGCAACTCCCGCAAGCAACTCCTTCCTCTCTCTTACCATTACCCGCAGCTCCCCGTGCCAAGCGCGTGCAAAGGTGGACCAGGCCCACACACTGCGAAACGGCGACAGACACAGACGAGGGGGGCTCGATGGATGCTCCACAATTTGGGGGCGGATGGGGGGATGAGTGTGGGGGAGGGGGGTGGGGGTGAAACTGCGGCCCACACAGTCTCTTGGTCTCTTGGTGCCGCCTTTGACCTGCCGTGCCGTCTCGCTCTTTCTTTCTTTCGTGTGCGTCTCTCTCCCCTTGCGGCACAACCAATCTACGGGAAGGACAAGGAGGCATCCGGCCTTGAACCGCAGCTTCCGTCACCATGTTTCGGCGCAGCCATCCAGCGAGCAAGCTCACGAACACGGAGCTGAAGAAACTTGGTGAGACTGCTATAAAAGTTGCAGCAGTAAAAAGTTCATCTTTTTCGAGTCGTCTTCGTCGCACACCCTTCTTTCTCTCCGTTTCTTTCTCCACCTCAAGCAAGGGGAAACGCCTTGTTGCAGCTGTTCGTGCTGCCGCCGCTGTGTCGTGGGCTACCCCCGTTCAATGCCCTGCTGCCGATGCCGCTGCTGCCGCCCCCTTCGCCCCCCGCGTGCCCGTAACGAAAAGAGCAACTCTTCCTGATGGTAGACAACTGCACCCTAGACATGCAGCGCGGCCAGGACACGTCTTCGCAGCTGGCTGATGCAATAAACGGATATCCCAACGCAACAATGTGAGCTGTGTATGTATGCATACAAGAGCGGAGAGTCGTTGGTTTTGTGTGATGGGAGATATAAGTGCGGCGAGCAGCTGGGAGCTGTCTGCTGCTGCAGAATGTGTACGCTGCGCTGCCGTACGAATCGTCATCCCAGTGTGCAACCCGCGTGCTCCAGCACCTGCAGCTTCGTGCGTATACTTGCTTTATGTATGTCGGACGACCAAAAATGGCCCTGTGTGCTGTGAGGTCGGTTTCGGTTCGCACCTTGACCCACACCTGCCGGCTTGCCCCGGCCCGGCCAGATGCATTCATAGAGGTATAGCCGTCGATAGTGAACGTAGCGAACCCACTACTCCGGGCTTCTATAGAAATCTTAGAGACGGCAAGACTCAAACGAAAATAAGTAGATAATACTACCCGCGGCCGGGCGGCATTTGTTTCTTTATAGCCAGCCAGACTGCTGTGCCGGTTGAAAGGTTGTGTGTGTGCGTAAGCAGTCAAACGCCGTGTACCAAGATAAGAACCGCAGAGCCGTATTTGTATATAATGTAACCGGTGCAACGGTCACAACGAGCGGAGCGGCGGGCCTGGGAATGACGCCACGGTTTTGAGTGGTTCTTTCCTCCCTCACACTTCTCTCGCACGCACAGATACCGGTGTTGAACGCGTTCTAGGTGCGCACGGAAAGCCGCAAAGCGCACTAACAAGCCGCCGGCCGTTTCAGAGCGTGTTCCATATTTTTTCCCCTGGGGCTAGGTAAAAAGTGCCAAAATAAAAAAAGGAAGGGGGAGCTGTCATTGGGGCGAGGTCTGGCACCTATTAGTTTCTCGTCTACGCACACTTGTATACCGAGGGTGTAAAATATGACGTGCTCTGCATGGGGTATCTACCTGCTACAACAGCAAAGACTTCGCTAGGATGGCAATAAATAGTCACCCTGTACAAATACTCCATTCGCCATTTGTTTGGTTTGACCAATACTTGTTCAGAATCGTGTGCAAATATTTGTTTCCAGACCATCACTCGTTCAGAGTCGTGTGCAAATATTTTGTCTCTTAGACAAATACTTGGATCAGAATCGTGCGCAAATATTTGTCTCTAGACAAATACTGGGTCAGATCGTGCGCAAGTATTTTGTCTCCAGACAGTACTGGGTCAAGATCGTGCGCATATATTTGCTTCTAGACAAATACAGGGTCAAAATCGTGTGTAAACTACCGTTGTATTTGTTTCCAAACAAATACTTGGTTCGACTGTGGGTATATCTCGAATGGGTAGTCTTTCTGTGTGGGTTTTTATTATTCCTTAAGTGCTTGGTCAAAAGTATGAAACCTGGGTGGCTGGTTGAGTTCAGAATTCAACATATATGAGACACACAAGACAACTACCAAACTGTCTTGTTGAGCCTGTTACCCGCAGGGGAGATGTCCCTATATGCTGTCTGGGAAATCGTAGACATACAGGTACTTTTCTGACGCTATGAATCCATTGCTAATCTGTCTCAGACTCTTTTCTATGATGGAGATGGTTTCGTGGTGTCATATTAAGAAAAATAAAAAAGAGCACGTGTAGCATGTGAGCTCGATAGAGACTCAGTGCAAATCGATAAATAAACTGAAACCATATGGTATTTTCCTAGAAGTTTGCTTGATTGACGGAGGAGTGAGGAGTGGGTGCACGTGCGTGAAAACAACCACGTGATGCCCCCCCCTTCATATGTCTAAACAGAAAAAACAGGTAGTAACTCTCGATCTCTGACTTTAGACAAAAGGTAAATGAACGCGACAAGAGCGATCTCCCCTACCTACTCCCGAACAAGAAAGCACACCGGAGCAATTTGCCCAACCCGTACCGTCAGGTTGCTGCGGAGAACTATCAATTATTTGCGCCAGCGCCAGAATCACCTATGTATCTGTCCCGTGCGTCACCCGAACAATGCTGTACCGTATGTATGTGTGTCCAATCACCACACGCAAACACTTCCCTCTAGACTGGGACTTTCGACGCCCGTGCTCTGCTACGTATGCGCATGACGCATAATATCGGAGAAGAAGTAAGAAGAGGCGCTATGCATCCCTAATACTTTGGATGCCTCATATGTAATTATTCTTGTATTTGTTTTGTTTCCAGCCAAACACCCTCTGGATGAGGTTTCATATCTAATTGTTCTTGCACTTGTTCCCAGCCGAATACTCTCGGCAGAATGTGTGCAACTATTTGTTTCCGGATAAATACTCGTTCAGAATCAATCGTGTGCAAATTATTTGTCTCCAGACAAATGCTCGTTCAGAATCGTGTGCAAATATTTGTCTCTTAGACAAATACTCTAATAGTTGCATGAACCAGGATAGCTTACTACGCTGATCCCAGAGAGAGCCAGTTCGTGACTGTATGATACGATTGGGTGTTTTTTTAGGTGTTTTTTGGGGAATGTTTGGGAGAAATGCACATGTATCTCTTTTAACCCCTTTGCGTCTAGGCTACTCGCCGGCTGAAAGGGTGGTCCCCAAGACGCATATTCCGTTTCGATGCTTTTTTCTTATTATTGGAACCAAAATAAAAAAAACGGGGCGAAGAGAGTGCGGCGAGAGCGAGAAGTGCAGCAAAACAGCCCGCTGTACTTCTCCACACGCAACAGCTATCTCCACCTGTAGGCCATGAGGGCATAGCCCGCGAAAGGGTGCTGGCCGAAGATAGGGTCATAGAAGGGTTGGTGCGTGGTCGCGGTGCGGCGGGTAGGGCAGGTTAGCCTTGTAGACTTTGCAATGATCAGTCGTCAAGGTGCCTCAACAACTCTATTTCCAATATGTTGTCAATGATCAGTCAGAAGGGGGGCAAAATAACCAGCGAAGACCCATAGCTAGTACTTGTACTTCTGTATTTCTCTGTCCCCACCCAATGTGAGCCCTGCCAACTCTCTAGAGCTCCTGTAAACACAAAGCACACGAGCTACAGCAGCAGTAGCACGTTACACCGCCCCAAGCTATGGAGCAAGCTATGGAATTGCCAGCACCAGACGTCGCGGCGTACAAGGCCGGCAACGCAACGGCCTGCCACGATCAGCTGGTGTCTTCGATCGCCGACAACCCATCATCGGAAGATGGCACAAACGACAATCTGGCGCGTGCTTTCGCCTTCGAAATTGCCGCCGCCGTGGGAGGGGAGTATTGCCATCGCTAGACCGAGCCCGAGCCCTTGCCCAGCATGGCCCCTGCAGCTGCCAAGGTAGCTGCTGCCGAGCACCCGGGTCTGTGCGGCGTGTACCACGCCCACATCACAGCTGCCGTGAAGACCCAGGACGTGCAAGCACGATCGGGCTCAACCGCGGGGAGCAAATACCGCAACCAAGTGAGTGCTTGCGTATGAGGAGGGGGGGAGGGAGGGGCGGGTGTGGTGTGGTGTTGTTGTGTGTCGTTGTCGTCGTCGTTGTTGTTGTTGTACAAGTATGAGGAGCAAGTACGAGAAGCGAAGAGAGAAAAGGAAAGCTTTGCTGGCCTGACCTTGGTAGGTATGCATGTGTTAATAGATACCTTTCAGCAGCCCCTGCTGTGCTGCAGGTTATATATACACTGACATTTTAGTGAAATAATGCCACCTATCTATTAAGCCGTGCAACAAACAAGTCAGCAAGTAGACTATAGTCACGTGTATGCATGTAGACTAGGTAGATAAAAAACTCCTTCCTTCCCGCTGCTGCCCGCGAGTCGCTGTTAGAGTAAGCGCCTGCTGGGCGATGTGTCGTAGGCGGTGTTATGTACTGCTTGCTGTACGATGTTCTGTGTGTTTTTATGTTGTTGGCCTCCTCCCTTATCTGTGCCGTACTCTTCGAAAATGGCTGTCTGTGCGGGTGTCGGCGAATATCGCGAATGCACCCGTCACGACGCTAGGAAGTTGAGTTGGAAGTGGCACGCCGCCTTGAAACGCCAATATGCCCACTGCAGCATGGCTGATGGGCACACTCCTCGCCTTCTCCGTCCATATGAATGTGTATGTAAGTAAGGCTCCGGTGACTGATGTGTGTGTTCCGGTCAACGCATGAAATGCCACAGGCTTGCTTCGACGGGGCGACGGCCATGAACACTCGAGGGAGGGGAGTGCAGCTCAAGAGGGCGGAGCGTTTCACGCACGCTTGCCGTGCGTTATGGCCTGGAAACGAGGAATTGGAAGCCTCCGTGGTTGAGGGGCTCTCGTGCTAAAGGCGCCAGCCGTCCTTCGCAAGACTTACTACTTTGACATGTTGGCGTGTTGCGAAACAGTGCTATGTAGCTGTGGTGTGTTCGACGTTGTCGTGGCTGAAGGCGCAAAGCTGTTGTGTCAGGGTCAAAGCCGGATGTTTTCGTTGGTCATGCTTTCAATTTGGCTTTTTGTTTCGATCGCCTCAACAACGGTCTCTAGGGGAGTGCCGTGTTCCTGTGGGGTTGCCCTACATAATAGACCTACGTAGGGTTAGGGGGTGCCGAGAAATACCGCCCTGTCTTGATTTGTGCTTGGAATGCCCCGTCTTGATTGGTGCTTGGATTGGAGAACAGGATGTTCACGGGAAATTTGCCTACTTGTAGCCCGTGTGATGTGTTGGAACACGCCGGCCCTCGCTTGGTTGTCTTCCCTCCCTCCGCATGGGTGGTATACCGTCGGCAATTTGTGAAGGTTGCAACAGTCCCTGGTGACTACACCCCGGTCTGTGGTAGGGTACAAAGACCGGAGCACGATTTCCATGTCTTGGTTGTTTGTGATTCACTGTGTTGGGCTTTGTTTGGGAGCTCGTGCGAGCGGGAGCGATCGGCTCCTTTGGGGGTTGTCTTAGCCCGACATGACGTCAGCGATGTCTGGTGGGGTGGGGCTTTATCTTGTGTTGCTCACGGTATAATCTACCTCATTCGGGATGCGTGGACCCTCGTTTGGGTAGTTGGCCTGTAACCACGACAGGCGTACGAGCCAGACGGATGTTAGCCGCTACTGCGCGGAGGCTGCAGCATGTGCTGCAGCGTTCTTTTTTTTTTTTTCTGAAGAACAACAAAATTACAACAAGCAAAAGCGCGGCAACCCGCGCGAGCTCTTGCACAAAAAGCCGTAGGGTTGGGAGTGCTTGCGCATGCACTGACGAGGCATGAAATGTGCATGCTCGTTCAATGTTGCCATATTCATCGCCACGAACGGCACCAGCGCACAGCAAACTTTGGGCGTTCATGCTTTGCACACACATGCAAAACACAGGGTAGGCTGTACCCACGAACCTTGAAAGCACAACATGTGTGTTGTGTGTTGTTCCATCAAGATAGGCGCCAGTCTTAACACCTTTCTTTACACATTTTTTACACGACAAATACTTTTACTGTTGGCGCTTGACATTCGCCCCATCGATATAGCGGCGAACGATACTTCACCCAATAACCATTGACTTCGTCACACTTCGAGCGCCGAAACGTTGATTATCAATTCAATATTGACCTACGAACATCACAGGCAGCAAACTGCAAACCCAAGCCGGAACATTTCTGCCGTAGCAGCCGAGAAGCACTGAAAAACTGGTTCATCATTGTACATACCAGCCTCGCGATAAGTCGTGTCCTTCTGTTGCTCTGCAAGCCATAAGACAATACTAGCTCCCGTACCGGTCGATATCCCTATCCATGTAAATAAGCACAGTTGGCCGCCCCACGCCTGGTTCAATTCTATATCGTCACAACAGGGCTGTGTTTGCCCACGTACTGCCACGAGGAACCCCCCCCCCCCCCCCCCCAACCCATTTTGTCGGGGAGGGCTCCGAAAGGAAGGGGGAAACCCCACAAAAAAAGCCCCGTGGTTAAAACACCCCGGGGTCCAAACCCCCCCCCCCCCAAAG